TAATCAACTCATTTGATAAAACCTAAATTACTATGGAATACATCACCTAGCAAGATCAATAACTCACTTCATACACCATCCATCCGGACAGTAGCACAAGTGCAAAGTTGTAAACTATGAGAACTTCTCTCAGACTGTAGGCCTCCCTCTTCTCCATCACTTTGGGTCCGACCTTCACGATGAAGAGATACATCGCCACTAAAGAGATGGTCGGCCAAGGTGTGGCGACAAGTGGCCATTCTTCAGTTTTTGGATCTGAAATGAAAACCGTTGATATAAATAGTAATATTGCAAATGAATTTCCCAGAAACAAACAGAAATAGCGAGATGTAGTCGATTAAGTGGATGCAGTGGCAGACTGGCGGGTAAATCCACTGTAGTTACTTAGCTAGGTGTTTGGGCAGGAAGATACCCTAGCATAGGTAGGTAACTTTAGGTAAGAAAACCATTGTTAAGTTATGAGGTACAGAGTGGGGTGGTAGCTAGGTGCACTGTTGGCAGGTAGGTAGGGAGGCAGGGAGGTAAATGGCGAGGTACGAAGGAAGGGAAGAAGTTACATGGATAGGGAGGTGGGCAAGCAAGTAGGAAAGTAGGGAGGTAAGTGGGGAGGCAGGCAAGAAGGGAAGTAGCTAGATAGATAGGTAGGTAGGTAGGTAGGTAGGGAAGGAGGTAGGTAGGTAGGTAGGTAGGTAAGAAGGGAGGTAGAAGGTAGGGAGAAGGTAGGGAGAAAGTTAAGTAGGTAGGGAGGTAGGCAGACAATTAGGGAAGTAGGTTGGTAGGGAGTTACAAAAGTTAGGAGGGAAGTAGCTGAGTGGGTCAGGTAGCTAAGGTTTTCAGTAGGTAGGGAGGCGAGTAGGTTGGGAGGTAGGACGATAGAGAAGTGCCGAGAAAGGAGCCAAGGAGTCAATAATACTTACCACCGTTGTCGATGGCCCAGTGGTAATAATCTACGAGACGCTGAGTAGTGGTCGTCATAATTTCTATCAGTCTTCTTTATCTACCTGTGAAGATTATAAACACAGTCAAGTACGACTTGCGAGTTTTCAGCATTATTTTTAGAAAACCATGTAAATTGAATACTGATTTATTATAGCAAATAGAACAGAAAAAGAGAAAAAAAACACGCGTGCCGTAAGGAGAAAACATCCATAACGATTGAGTGAAAGGGCAAAAAGTGTCATGAACAGTTGTCACGTAATTCTGAGATATGCCCCAATCAACGTTCAGTTAAGAAACGTTTTCTTTGTACATAGAAGTTAAACCTCGCAGTGTCCGAAGAAATCACCTTTGAGGACTGCAAAAATACCCTTGAAAGTCGATTGTTTCTGTAAATTGTACGAGCGCTCGTATGGCAACAGTGTTCTTCTGTAAGTGTCCCAAAACAATCACTTCATAATCCCCCTGTTATACAGAACAAAATGCGGGTGCATCCTTGTTTGAATGTAATCGAAGAAAAGTTCAGTTTTTTCTGATGTTAACAGTATTTTCTCTCTTATTAAAATTTACCACACCCAAATTTCAAAAGATTATTTTAGGAACTGAAAGCGAAACTACGGGCAACTGGAACAAAAAAAACAAAAAAAACAAACAAAAAAAAAAGCTGCAAATCTGACAGTCGCGACCCCGAACTGGGAAAGGTAAAGCCTTCCTCAGTCACAGTTTACGCGACATTTTGCAAACTGACCGTAAAACTGATAAAAATTTCTTGCGGGATTGCCTGGAAAACATTCACTCAAGACAAGTGATGATTCACAAAAGTAACGACACTGTTTACCTTATTATACACGCGTGAATTGAGCGTTCAATTGAATGAAATCTGCAATAGGGCGTGGTGTTGCTGGGGATATTTCACCGCTTAAGAAGAGCGTCTTATAATTCGGTTTCCAGCGCAATAAAAGAGAACTTGATACCCACTTTTCTCGCAGAAAATTTACAACCGGACACGGTGGTTATGTATTTCGCTGGATGTCACACGGGAAGGGAAAATGCACGACCAACTTGAACTGATTCAAACCGAGTTTGTTTACACCAATGGGCCAATTAGAAAGAAGGCTGGGGCAGGTGTTATGGGTTTCATTTGAATAATTCGTCGGAGCGTGACAACAATAAACGTCGACGTTTTGGAAATTTCAGAAGCAGTTGAACGCGTCCGAATCAATACAGATTAACCCTGTATGTTTACCTTATTAGCATCACCAACGATCGTATCGCAAGAGTGGTACATAGTATAATATTATTTCTTTAAACGTCTACGAACTGAATTGAAAATTTCCTCATTCAAAAAAATTAAAAATTAGTTGAGAAAGAGACCTGGGAATTAATGGCTTTCCATCTATTTCCTAAACAGTATTTTGCATGGTCCTGCCTGAGACAGTTGATTTCGGTACAGCTTGAGTAAACTTTTCGTAACAATTTTTTTCAACGACATGTGCGTTGTTATTCACTTTGACCAGGAGTTTAAATAAGCAAACACTCGTGCTTCAAAAAAATAAAAACCATAGGTTTTAAAATTTATACGGCTCGAATATCCCAGGTTTATCAAATTAACGAAACGAATTCTAGTGAAATGACCGAGGACAGGCTTACCTAGAGAAGGATCAGAAATTGCAACACAACTCAACGTAATGGATATCATGGGCGTAGCCAGGATTTTTCAAAGGGGGGGTCACAGAGACTACTCACCATTTACAGCGCTGCTCTCCCGCGTGTATCAGCGGGCTCAGTCGTATTATCGCGGCATGAAGGCCCATATCAGTGGCTTTTACGGCCAAGATATTGTCATGGCGTTTTCGCCACCTGAATATTGTTGGTTGTTTGCTCTAAAGAAGACCTACCAAGGGAGGGGATCACGGGCACCCCAGGACCCCCCCTGGCTACGCCCTTGGATTTGAGAACGAAACACTTCTGAGATAATGAACTTTTTAAATTTTTTAGTATAATTTCCATTCTTTGTCATTTTAATTGCAAACGAGGCGAACTTGCCATTAACTTAATTTAGGGAGCAAACACCTAAACAGCAAGTGTGTCAATATAATTAAAAAGAGTAACTATTTCAGCTCCATGTCCTGCGTTGTGTTTGTGTTATATACAATACTACTCAAAAGTAAGTTACCACCTCTCGTCTCGTTTCTCTCGAGACACGTCTCGTTTCCCTCAAAAACCAATGAAGCGTTAAGTATGGAATATATTACTTGAACTTTGCAAGACAAAGTGGGGAAATGCGATGGATTCCTGGCAACTCAACACCTAGGCCTTAAAGTAGTTCCTTACAGAGGAAACCAGCATAGTCACCACCCATTTGGGTCTGCAGGAACAGGTTGCTTCAATCAATCCCCTCAGTCTATCCTCTTCCTACCTGGTTATGGTGATTTCCAGTCAAAGGACTAGAATTCTGTTAATAAAGGGTTACCTTCTCAAGATGAGAATTTACCTAGTGTTAGTGTTTTACAAAAAAGCTAAAAATTAAAATGAAATAACAAGTCATGCTATAATCTTATCAGGCCTGCAGTGCTGGCAGGGCAAGTCTAAGTGTTTCATCAAGCTTGTTATTATGGCCCTTTGATTTACGGTAAGAGTTGAGGTACTAATTTTAATCTTCAAAGGGGCTCCAGACAGAACATTAATTAATTTTTTCTCATTGTTTGTATCCTGTTTTTCAGTCACTGTCCATTAGAGAGTCAAGCTGTGAATTTCCATCTGTAACATTTAGATTGCTTTGCTGCTTCCCTTCAGAATAACATGTTTTGTTGATCAAACAACAATTTTTGTTACAAATGTCATCTCTACACTATTCCTATCAAGCTGTGAACTTCAAACCATAACATTTCAATTTCAATACTGCTACCGTTCACAACATGTTATGTTGATCACACAGCAATTTTTGTTACAAGTGTCATCTATACACTATCCATATAAATGCATTATTTTTCTAAGCTTTTATGCTCGCTAGGCCCCATCTTAAAGCCTTCCCAGTTTCCTTTGATCTATCTGAACAAGGAAAATAAAACATATTTACCATGGAAGCTGTTAACACATGGTGTTTATAGTTACACATGCAAGAGGTGGAACCTATTTAGTGGGATTAAAGTCTACTGTATTTTGGACCTCACCCTTAGAATCTCTTCCTCAACCACTGAACTGCACAACTATGCCATAATACAGGGCCTGCCTGCTGAGCGCTTTTCTTGTGCTGACTGATAATAATACATAACTAAAAGCTCTCAGTTAAATCTAGAGTTGTATATATTAGTTAGTTCCCAATTTTTGCTTATTTGTGTGCAATTAATCTGAGAGTAGTTAACCTCAAACAAAAAAAAAAGAATGCTTAGATCTACCTTTTTTCACCTTTACAAAGTACTTTGCTGGAAATGTTACTCATTTCTAATAGCTTTTAGGCCTTCAGAAGATCATCTACTTAACAAAAACCCTTTCTTAATAACACTTGGTACCACTTGAAAATCATGTCATAAAAGCAAGGACATATGTTTTAATTCAAGTATCAACTTATCATTATTAAACTTTTAAAACAAACATTCATCATAAATGTAAACACATGTGTTTGTATACCCATGTACAGATGTTTATTCATACTTCAAAATATTCCCACCCCTTTCATGTATTGTTCATTGATCTTGTGAGTGAAAAATAATTTTTTATATTATATCTAGACACAGACGACACTTGTGCAAACTGAAACAAATCATTCTGCTCATGTGATGACTTCAAGCAATTGAACTTCCCCTGGACATTTTGATAACTCTGTATCGTATCATACCAATGTCATGTGAAGAACTTGAAACCTCTCGATCAATCAACCCCCAATCAAAACAAAATTTTTGTTTCACGAGTTTTGAAACATAAAGACAAATCATCCTTCGGTGTCCCAGTAATTCCGGTGGCAAATCATTGCAACATACATGTATCATTACAAAAACAGATTTGAATAATGTTGCTTGATTTAAACATAGCACGGAATTTTAGATGCTGACCAAGCCAAGAGCTGGAAACGCGGGGCTATGTTGCTTATTAACACAGTCCTTTCAGTAGAGAACCTATGTTTACGAATACAGGAAAATTTTTTAAGTGGACTTTAGCGTGGAACTAAACACGTGGAACACAATCATCATCGAAAATAAAACACATGTGATCTGTATTTTCATCATTGGCAACGTTCTAAATTTGTCTCCCTGGAAAATTCAAATTTCTGAGCGTCAATCGTTAGGAAGGCTCGTTTTATAAACAAATTTGAAAAGATCTGCCCGTAGAAACCGAATTTGGAGAAGAAACTGTTCCCACATGAACATCTGTTCTAAGAGTCGTTTCGATAATGACATTCAATATTGAAGTGTCAGCGTACTTACTTGATTACGACCGATCGCTAGACTTCTGGCCAAATTGTGTATAGTTCTAACCCCAGAAATGCCAAACGGAACTGAGTAACGAGACCGCAATGAAGTGATTTTACATGACGAAATCCACATAGCCGTGAAATGAAAGCGATGCATAGAACTTTAACCTTGATTGACCTTAATTAGAGTTGCGTAACACCATAATTCCACGGGTACTTCACAAGGATGCGAACTCATTGAAAGGAAATTTTCAACTTAATGCACTCAATATTTTAAGCAGAACGTTAGGAACATGCTTCGTTTTGTTGTGCATGCTGCGCAGTTCTCTACAGGTATTTTATAGGAATCGGGCGCGACAACGAGTACGAAATTACGCAAAAGGGTACCAAATAAGTTAGGGATGTGTACGAAATTCCAGAGGCCTCCAGTTACTTCGCTAGGCCGTATCTCTACTTAATGAAACCTTACCTCTGTGTAGCTTCGGGTTGAAGTTAGACTCCGTAGAACAGGTTTCTACCACCTCTTAGACAATTCTGTGAGCGATTGCCAAGAGGGAAAAGTCTAAGAAGCAGACCTACTGTTAGAGGTCAGGCTAATAAGCATGATCACTGCATTCTGATTGGATAACGTATAGTGGTGCGACAGATGCACGAGAAGCCGGCCGGGTTATTATGTCAGCGGGCTTTGCTCGAGGGCTGGCTTGCATGGAATGTATCCCCGGGAATTCGAATTTCTTCCGAGATTTGCGCCAAATTTAGCTGCAAGCAGCCGTCACTGTGGGATTTTACTACGCACGAAAGCATAGAATTTTTAGCTGGTAGGCTCCTTATTGCATTCTTTTAAATTCAACTTGAGAGTTAGCGAAGTAAAACGGTATAAATGTTTATTGCCCGAATGAACTTTGGATGCCCTCATGCGGCACGTGTATGGCAACTTGATGTTTTGAAATCATTTATAGTGGGGTACTTTTTTTTGTTTTGTTTTGCGTGATTGCTTCCTTTTCAAGCAGAGCGATTTCATTTCTCATCTGGTGTCGCTGTTTTCCGACTTCGTCCCCGAGACGAAAACAAGAAAAAATTCATCTTGCTTGGATTTGATATCTTTCACCCACGATGTATTTCATTTACAGGTCAGTGATGTTGTGGTTTGTTTTGGGCTTTAATGAGCGAACAATAGGGTTGTTCTCTAAAAAATTGGGGTGAAATCTGGGAAGTCATTTGTAAAATCAATGCAAATCCAATGTATTATGAAAATTAAACGAAGAGTTTCAACGCAATAAATCAAAAAAAATGTCAGTTTCACATTAGTATACAAAACCTTGCTTTTTATCTTTCCATGTTTGTAATAAAGTTTTTTTGTTTGTTTTTACAGTGGCCAACGCGAATGCTGCTTTGGTCACTGTGCACATTTTACTTTTGATTATTGATGTAATTTACTGTTTTTTATATATTCTGACTTTTATAATCTGTAATAACCTCTTGAAATAGTGCGAATAAAGAGTTTCCTTTCCTTAGACAGCCGAATGTATAAATAATTTAGGACGATGCTAGTAATTATAGCAACCCAAAACCTTTGATTTTGTGTTTTTTTTTTCCCTCTGCATCCCTTACCCATCTGTGTAAATTCACTGTACCTGGCGCCTTTGGGTTGCATCCCCTCAGGGTTGTAAACACGCTGTCTCACTTGGTCATGGAACTGCAAGAATTTCATGCAAGGGTGGATGCTATCAGCGGTAAGTTAAGTTACATAGGTAAAGGAAAGCTCCAAGTGCTTAATGTTCTTTTTGAAATTATTTGTGCAGATTTTTTTGCAGAAGCCAATTCATGTTTATGTAAATTTTTTAAATCATTAAGTCTGTACTTTTGATTTTGTAACCTTAGGACTATTGATCTCTGAACATGGGACCCACAGACCCAAAATATAAAATAAGGGGAGTATACAGATGGCATGAAATATTTTTTCTAAAAATTCTGCAAAACAGCTTTGAGTTTGGACTTAACATTTTTTTTTTTCAAACTCAAAAGTTTACAGGTCTCCTTTAAGATCTCTGACATGGTTACCTAGGTAACCAAATGATTCCTTAAGCAAACTTTGTCATCTCACATAATGTTTTCTTATATTTTATTTATCATTAGATCCAAGAACTAGGAAATGGCTCTTTGTGCAATCCATATGGTCACCTATTACAGCAGTATTAGTTTATTGGCTGCTTGTTTGGCTGCTACCAAAGATTATGAGGTCCAGAGAGGCTTTTCAACTTACAAGCTGTCTAGTGATATACAATGCTGCCTTGACACTTCTGAATATATACATAGCTGTAGAGGTAAGAGGACAAAAGAAATGTTGAAATTGTAAAACTGTTGTATAATATTTTAAGGGAGAAGTATGTTCCAGAAATCATATAATTTTGTCTTCCATGTATATATCTTATTGCTGTAATGTCATGGGAAAAAAAGCAAAATAGAAAAAGCCAAATTTTATGCAAATGACATTGTAGTGTATTATACAAGTATACAACATTAGCATTTAGGAATCTTGGAATTGTTTGAAATTTCCATATACATTTAGACTTCTGATACTCTCCAGGGGTTTGAGAGAAATTCTGTGAAAATTGTCTGGCTGCTAGGCATGTAGCCAGAGGGTAGTTTTGAATGCTGATAAATACCCATTTGGCTTTTTCACTTGTTGATTTTGCTTATTTGTAAGACAAAGTCATTGTAAGTAAGCACATTATTTTGAAATAATGAGATTCCAAATGGTAACCTACCCTTTCAATTTATACTGTCTTCAAATGTGCCAAGAATTCACCGACCAATACTGCCATTTTCAGTCTTACCCATCAACCTGGCTGTACTTACTTGTCAAGTATCTATGTCAGATGCAGTGCTCCCCTTTTTCTTTCTATTTGTAATCTCCTTGATAAATCAGGAGCTGTACAAAAAGTATAATTTTTATTGTGATAACCAGAATAGATGACATTGATATAGTAAGCCTTTTGATTTTGGGTGTGGCCAGGTTAATGAATTGTTTTTAAAATAGCTACATGTAGAGCCAAATTTTAGCAGTTAAAAACTGATTTTGGAGAGTTAAGTAAAATGCTAAAATTTCAGTGTTCATTTGTAAGTACATCCTAACACTGAATCCAATTTAGTTTAGGCAGTTAGCTTGTATAGTTTAGTTACGTATAATGCATGATCCTTTGCAGTAGATAGTTTAGTTTAGTTCAGTTAGTTGTCTGAATAGTTTAGTTAGTTGTCTGAATCTTGGCCTGCAATGCAGGCATCCTGTTAGGGCTAGCTAACATTAAGAATCTCTTAACTGCTTATTCAACCAGCTATGCTTGATTTGGCGTTAGAGTCAAGGATGGGGAAAGGGCGGGTGAAAGGCATACAGACGCTAGCCTACGTGTAGCCGCACCCTCCCCCCAACAAAGGAGAAATGGAGCCAGGGAGCTCCCTCGCTCCGTTTCTCCGTTTCTCCTTTGTCGTGGGGAGGATGCGGCTACACGTAGGCTAACAGACGCCTGCCTGAAGAGGCTGTTAAAAGTGAAACACCCTCTGATAAGTTTCACATCACTACATTTCCAGAAATGAGGAGTAATCAATCGGAGTAAGTTTATTCAAAAACAGAAAGTACTGTCTACTGACAAAAACAAACCTAATGTAGAGCGGATGAGTGGAACGGTAAGGCAGTTTTTTTGCAACAAGGAAAGAAATGGCTTTGACAAAACCTCCTCGGCTTCCACAAATATGAGCTGATTTTTCCAGAGACCATTGTGAAAATTATGCCTTTTTGCTCCACTCATAAAGTGCAAGGCACACCATGTTGCAATAAACACTTGAAAGATTCTTCTAATCTGTCAGCAACCACTTCCTGCCACTGTTCAAAGGCAAAGCTTCTTTGAAAGAGCCATTAAAATCGACAATTTCGCCTTCAACAGAGTTGACCATATCTTTCATTTTTCCTGCAAGATCAGTGACATAATGCAGTTTGGCTTGTGGTTGACAGGTAGAGCTTAACTGCACAAATGGAGTTTCTTAAAACAGCAATGACCTCGGGCAGACATATAATTTGCCCCACCCCCCTCCCTCTTCTTCTTTTTGGCATTTGCTCACCCTTTTGCTAAAAATTTGTCTCTCCTCTGGACACCCTTCTGCTGTTAGAAAAATCAAAGATGGCAGCTATAATTTCACCAAGACAATACTGAGCACTCGCTTGCCAAAATTACGCCTGCTCTGCAGGTTCTCTTTATGTTAATTACTGACCTGCCTTCCCTTACCAAATCTACATATATGTGACATATATATGTTACATATGTATGCCACATATATGTGCCATATATGCCACATATATGTGGCATATATGTCAAATATATGCCACATATGTGTAACATAAATGTGGCATATGTAGGAATTTGGCACTCATGTTGCATGTATATCACATATATGTGACATATATATGTAACATATATGTGGAAGAACCTGGGAACCACAAATGCACCCTTACCAAATCTACATATGTGTGACATTTATCTGACATAGGTTCAATCATTGCACATATATGCCACATATATGTGGCATACATATGTAACATGTATGTCACATATATGTAGATTTGGTGAGGGTTAGGCTAGCTACAGCCATCTGCAGGTCAGCCCATGTATAAATATTTCTAATCTGAAAACTGAATAAAGAAAAAAGTGTGAAGTGTGTTAGATAAGGGTACTTGTTGTAATCTCAAAGCTTGGTAAGTACTTTATGTTTTCCGTACACCTTTAATAATGAAAATGGAATAGAAATTAAATGATATCTGGAGCCTACCTCTCCCTTGACCCTTTACACCCTGACATCAGTATGCACGTTCTCCACACTGTCCTCTAGACATTTCCATGGTACTTACATGTTAAATGTACAAGGAGAATTTGTCAAACGATCAAACACCATTAGTGGGTTGAGTTTGTGTTGGTCCTCTTCTCTGCTTCGAGGGTTTTTCTCTGGGTTCTCTGGTTTTCCTCCCTCAGCAAAAACCAACATACAACTGATTCCAGCTGGCTGTAAGCTGTGCTCCAAGATCACACATGGACTGTATAGCGGCTGCCAGACTGGCACCATTGTAAGCTTTTGGTTCGACCTTGTTGAGCCGCGTCATTGCTGTACTTTGCGACGGCGATTAGCAGTGAAAATTATTATTATTATTATTATTATTATTATCAGGAGCTTCTTGAGTTTGTGATCATTTTCTTTATTCTCATGACCTTAAAGGAGCACTCTGATGAAACCACCCTATAATTTGAAAACCCAAAAAATTCAGTTATTTCATTATAATTATGAATTTTTAGTGATTAATAAAGCCTTTTCAATAATAATTTTAGTTGAAAGTCAATTCTAGGGTGAGAAATTACGATTTGAAAACCATTCCGCCATTAATTTTCATAATAATAATAATAATAATAATAATGAATTTTTATACAGGATTGAAAACCCATCAGTGTGTAACACTGTTGTCCTTGGGGTCCTGTTCACATCCAACTTATTCACATCCAATCACATCCAATCACATCCAACTTATTTTCGGTCAGCGGTCACACCCATTGTGACGTAGATTACTCAACACACTTTTATATTTATACAGAAACCTCGTGAAATTTAATGAAATAGTCTTAGTCTTAGTGTTATAAAAAGCAATATAGCCGATCAAAATACTGTTTTTGAAAATTAGCCACGAGCACGGTGCATCAAATGAGTAATCTCCAAACTCGCACCAGTCTTCTTGAGCCTGCGAAGTGATTACGAAAATTAATGGCGGAACGGTTTTCAAATCGTAATTTCTCGCCCTAGAATTGACTTTCAACTAAAAATTATTATTGAAAAGGCGTTATTAATCACTAAAAATTCATATTATAATGAAATAACTGAATTTTTCGG